TCATATCTTAATATATGAAAGAAAATTTGTATTTATAATTTTAATGATTATATGTGCAAATAATTTCTTTTCTTTTTTTTTTGTGGTTACAAACAAAAAAAAAAGTTATAACGTATCGTTTTGTTTATAATTTTTATTTTTTTTTTAATATAAGAGAGATCCCATTTCGAAAATTCACCGTAGGCCTCCTAAATCTGAGGCTCACGGTGCTTCTATGAATCTATAATGGTTTTCAACGTTATGTCTTACTATGGGCAAAATATTTGAAGGTGTGTGGACTCTTCTATGAAACCTCATATTGCTATCAAATTAATGTGGTAGACAATAATGTTTACCTTCGTGATGGAAGTGTCTTTGTAGTGGCTGAAAGTTTCCATGAATTGTGCCTTGCTCCTCGTACACACAATTCTAATGATCTCTTCATGATTAAAAACCTCGTCTTTCATAAAATTGTGCAAAATATTAACCTCTGATTTAACAAAAGAAAAAAAATATATTATTTATTATATCATTTCACCAATGGCAAATATGTTTTTTTTTTTTTAATACAAATAATCAATACATAAACAATAGAATAATTAAATAAATTCATATACAAATATATGATCTCCCACTCTCAAAATATTTTGGGAAATTTACGTGTAGATTTCAATAGATAAACTTATTATCCAATAGATCCAATGAGAATTGATGACATTTTTTTATCAAATATTATTAAAAAAACGTCACTAATTGTTAATTTCAGAGACAGATAAAATTTTGTTATAAAAAATATCATTAATTATGAGTTTTAGCGACATTTTAAAAACTAATTACAAAAAAGCGTTACTACTTTTTAACTTTCAATGATAGTTTGAAAAATTTGTTACAGAAAAACGTCATTAATTATACGTTTTAACGACAATTTATACAGATCGTAATTAAAAAAAGTCACATATACAAAAAAAAAAAAAAATTATCACAAAAATATTGTTTTAATAATAATTTTATTAAGACTTATTTGTAATAAAATTTAATAAAAATTAAGTCTAATTACTAAGATTTACTAGCAGTTTACAATATTTTCACGAAAGAGACTCGTGTGTTCTCCCTCCCGTTCCCCTGCCCACTCTTCGAATTGGTTACATAAGTCAGGGATTCAGGGTAGTACCATTCCGAATTAGTTACTCAGGTCAGGTCAGGGTAGTACCATTCCTTAATTCAGCAATAAATAATGAATTACTAAGATTCTTTCTCCCTCCTTTCCCAAGAAATGTCTTCATTCTCTTATAGCATCTCCAACTCAATCCTTTCATCAAGAGAATGAAAATAAATTTTTTAATTTAAAAAGTAAATATAGACCATATATATTATTGGATAAATTACACTGACACCCCTTAAAGTTTATAATTATTACAGTTCATCCCCTCACATTTAGAAAATTACACTGACCTCCCTGTTGATTTAGGGGTGGTTTGAGATGATCTAATTAAGTGTACTTTTGACTTTTTGTAAAATATGGATTGGGTATGGGTTAGGTTTGAAGTGATGTGGTAAAGAGGTGATGTGACTTAAATAAGATAGTAACTTTTTGACTTTTTAACTTTTTTAGAGTACCCCAAACAATGCCTTAATTTTATATATGATAATCATTACGATGAGGGAGGGAATTGTTATTAAACTTTAAACCTCATGGGACAATCTGTAAAGAAACTTCAAATCTCATGGAGAGGGATGTAATTTTCAAAATGTAAGAGAGGAAACTGTAATAAATATAAACCTCATGGGGGTATCAATGTAACTTACCCATCATTATTCATTCAAATTCCAACCACAAACCTTCACAACCCTTCATTTTCTTCCGCATTAGGTGTCACCAGACGTCCGGCCGGTCAACAACAATTTTTTTTTTTTTAAACATTAATCATGATTTTCTTCTCTAAAGATTTATCTCCAAAATATTTTCATCAAAAAATAATTTTTGTTCATTAACAAGTATTTAATTTTAAAATTTTTGTAAAATATATTCAATATTATACTCATTTTAAAGGTATGATTTCATATTTTTTAATGATGTCAATTTTATAAAAATTAAATTTACATATTAAAAGTGATTTGTAATATAATAAAAAATATAGAATGAATAGTACTTTGGAGGGGATCCTCTATTTTTTATCCTCTCTCCAAATAAAAAATAGAGGATCAACTCATCCTCTTCCCAAATAGAGACGGATTTAGAGGATGAGTTGAAAGAAAAAATCTTTCATATTTAAAGTTATGGAGGTTGCATTGGAAATGCTCTTAAGTCTGCTAAATATTGATTTTGTGTTTTTATGATATATTATTTTTTTATAAATGAAGAAAAGATAATAAGAAATATTTTAGAAATTTTAGATTTTTTAGGTAATTGTTCTTGTAAATTTAATACTTATACTTTTTTACATTAATTTTTATAATTTTTTTTATCCAAGTTTTGTGGGCTTATCTAATTAAAAAGGTTTTTGTAAAAATATACCTTTAGGTTGTGTTTGGTTCATGAATTTGTGAAAAAAATTGGAAAAGTAAAAATAAAGCTAAGTGAAATGTGAATAAAGTGTATCAAAATAAAGCTAAGTGAAATGTGAATAAAGTGTATCTATATTTTACCTAACTTTATTTATTTATTTGTATATTTATTTTTATCAACAAAAAAGAAACATTTATTGATGAAAACCAATGCAAAATATATGGACATTACATCAATAGGAGATCATGCACTGAATAGGGGAGGGCGCCGCACATATCATCATGGTTGAACTTTCAAATTCTAATTAAATTAACACTAAGAAGCTAGCACAATCAATATGACTGCACCAACACAAGGGTTGGTGAGGAACCAATCAAAATACCAGCAATGAACACCTCCATGAACGAAAAAAACGTACACAAAACATACTAGCTAACCACACACTAACCACTAGCTACACCCAAACAATAACCTCATGGACATAACCTAATTTGATTCAGATTTTCCACAATATCATGCACTGAATAGGGGACATTAGTCAGATTAGACTTAACCCACTTAATAGGAATATTATATTTCATTTAATTTCACATACTTTTTCTTTTTTATTTTCAATATCATGCACTGAATAGGGGAGGGCGCCGCACATATCATCATGGTTGAACTTTCAAATTCCAACTAAATTAACACTAAGAAGCTAGCACAATCAATATGACTGCACCAATGCAAGGGTTGGTGAGGAACCAATCAAAATACCAGCAATGAACACCTCCATGAACGAAAAAAACATACACAAAACATACTAGCTAACCACACACTAACCACTAGCTACACCCAAACAATCACCTCATGGACATAACCTAATTTGATTCAGATTTTCCACAATATCATGCACTGAATAGGGGACATTAGTCAGATTAGACTTAACCCACTTAAATGGAATATTATATTTCACTTAATTTCACATACTTTTTCTTTTTTATTTTCAAAATTTCTTTTCAAATTTATGAACTAAATATCGTCTTAGACATCTAACATGAATTCTCGCAAATTTTAATGTGGCATAGCGATTCTTAATTAAAGAGTGGCCTTTAAAGCAGAGAAGAAATCAGAATGATCGCATGAAACAATTAATTGGAAACAACTCTTCTGCATTAATATTGCAAAAATAAATGAAATGTTTTGCTAAAAATGTTAGTGCCTGAAACTTTAATGAATCCCAACTCCACTGGACCACTACCTTAAATCGCTTCTTAGCACAACAGTAATAATAATAAATACCATACCCAAAAAAAAATTAATAATAATAATAGAAAGTAAAAGTATCTCGTACTGCCTTTACTGGTTAGGTGGCCTTTTGGTCTGGTTAAGTTACATTGATAACTCATCATGAATGAGCAGAGAGTGTTTTTTAAGTTATGGCTAAAAGCATAGCTCTCGTAGGATTTTCAGTGTGTTATAAAGTTTTAAAATGCATATATATATGGCTCTCAGTTCCTTCTGTGCTATAAAGATGATCCTTAAAGATACATTAAGATCGAGGGAGATTCAGTTAGTAATGACTCTTTCCATGAACTCAAGATGGTGGTGTTTGAACACAAATTAGGAAAGAGCCATTCTCATGTTGATTGTTTTTCCCAAAATATTGGTTGAAAATTTCAAAATTTGTAAGAGGAAATTTCCAGCGCCTTACTAATTTAATAGAAAGTAAAGGGCTTGAAAGCTTACTTTATTATTATGACAAGGGCAAAGGCCCTTTTTATAGATTAAGAGGTGAAAGGTACCTTCTAACTCAGCTTCATCATCTAGCTCCAGCAATTCAAGAAAACATTTCCTACAAAGTACTTTCCGGATTTTTTATTAATTAAAAAATCTCTCCTAAACGATGAAATAAATATCGCAAATGAAATTTATTTATTGGGCATATTTTTTGAAGAGGTAAGGGTGGATGTAGGAGTGGGGTGGGGTAGGGGTCCGGGCTCAGGCCGGCCCATGGCAGATTGTGTGAGCTATTGTCTTTTGGTCGGGGTCCGGCCGGGCCAGCCCTCGGGCCAAAAAGTGGCACCCATCCACTTAGATTAGGGCCTAGGGCTGGGCCGCGAGCCCGGCTTAGCTGACATTTTTTTTTATATACAAAAAATAAACGATAAATATATTATGTATACAGATTATTTATGAGAGATAAAAAATAAAAGAAAAATTATATTAGAGTATTTTAGTTTGGTTATGTTTCGTGTGGTGGTATTTAAATTTTAGTTTGATTATGAACTTATAACTAAAAAAGTATAAAATTATGTTATTTTTTTTCTTTTCGAAAGACTAATTTTATATATATATCAAAATAAAACTTGCAATATTACAATTATTAAATTAAATGGATAACATTTATTGAATGAATAATTTTTATTTCAAAATGAAATAAAGTATTACAAAAATTTATATCATTAAATAAAAAAGATATAGATTATGGATGATAGTAATGCAATTGCATCATTATAGGTTAAGTACATCCCAACTAGATTGACACTTACTAGCTTATCAATCATTTGCATTATATTCCAGCTCAATAATCTAATACAGAAAAATTAACGAAATGAAATAGTGAAAAATAAATTGTTTATCAATCATCGGAGGGAAGAGGCAGACAATTCACTCGCATTGCCTGAGGATATGTCATCCAAATCAATTTGAATTATCTCATTTTTACTATAATTTTGTCTTCTCATAAACGCATACATATGATCTTGGAATATCATCAGTGCTTCAACCATTTGTGGTGAAAGCCTACTGCAGCAATCGCTCAGCACCCGTTCACCTGCACTAAAAGCTGTTTCAGAAACAATTGTAGAAATAGTAACGGTTAGTATATCATAAGCCATCTGTAAAAGCACAGGTCACATAGGTGCATTTTGTTTCCACTAATTTAAAATATCAAAATCTTCGGTATCATCCATAGGTGGGCTATCCAAATAATGTTGAAATTCAGAATTACTTACGCTTGTATGTTGAGATATTCTTATACTTTTTATTACTGAAAAACACTTAATCTTCTGCCTCGAGATGAGGTTGTTGGTGTAGTGTGTATAAGTGTATTTGCAGATGCAGCTGCCCTGTATTCTTTAAATAATGTTTTGCATGTGTTCATAATACGGGTAAATTGCTTTTGATTAGTGAAAATATGTCCTAAAAATTATTGTAAACCAATTTCTTTACACCTAGGATCAATTATTATGCCTAAACCTAAAAATGAGGCAATGGATCAAAATATTTATCAATTTTTTCTTTCTTTCAGTAATAATGGTTACTACAACAAAAAAGGAATATTTATCAATTTTTGTCTCCAAACACCAAATTTTTGTCACCAAAGATATCTGTGACAAAAATAAATTTGTCACCATGTTTGTCGCCCATATGTTGTCGCTGAAAGTACCTGGTGACGAAAAATAGTTTCGTCGCCTATTTTTTATTTTTGGCGACGAAATTTTTCATCTCCAAATATTGCATTTTTCGTCCTCTATAACATCAATTTCGTCACTAGAATTAGGCAAGATTTTATTTTAATTGTTTTGGCGACGAAATATTTCATCACCAAATAGGTTTTAGTGACAAAATTTATCCTCACCAATGATATAGATTAAGTTGACAAAAAAAATTCATCACGAAAATGAGCACAAAAGAAAATTCTTCAATGACAAAAAATATTTTGTCACCAAATATTTCAATTTAGCAACAAAATATTAAGCAAATATGACGAAATTATTTGTTTGGTACTATATCATTAGTGACAAAATTATTCGTCATGTTGTTTGAAAACCAATAGCACCATTTTTTTTTCGTCACTAACAATATTGTAAAAATTTTAAAATAAGGGTAATATTTTCAATTTAAAATTTTTCTTTTCACCAAAACTTGCCTGCGCATTTCAATAACCTGTTCAATAAAATATCTATTACAAATCAATACAAAAATCTGTTCATTTTCATAAACACCACAGTCAAATTTCAACACAATATCCACAAAAATACAATATCAACTGCATGCGGATTACCAAACGTGTTTCCTAATATCCACAAAAATACAATATCAACCGCATGCGGATTACCAAACACGCTCCTAATATCCACAAAAAACATGTCTACTAATATCCACAAAAATATAAAATCAAGTATGAATTACCAAACATATCTTGTAATACCCACAAAAATATAAAATTTATAACGCGACCAAAACACATGTAAGGTAATATGAACAAAAACACAAAATGAGCTAGCTTTTGCTCTCCAAATTACCAAACATGTCCATATCTAATCTCGAATCTGCAACAAAACAAAACACACACAAAAAAGACAAAAAAAGAAAAAAGAAAAAAGATGCAAATTAGACAATTATTATCTTATCAATTAAATATACAATTTAACATGCATTTTTCCACTTAGTTTTTAAATCTAGAGTCCCATGCTAACTCCGTATGTTTTCACAACTTACATTGGTCCCTCCTGAAGTGTTTGAGGTATTCCACGGGCCTTCTCGTGCCTGTTACACAATTTTGGCTCCTGATGGTCTATTTACAAGCTTAAGTGTTGGTAAAATGCATTTTTTGACGTAGTTTTCAAACCGGAAGTCTCGTGCTAGTTCTGTAAGTTTACACAAGTTACAATGGTCACTTCTGAAGTGTTTAAGGTGTTCCCTGGCCTTCTCGTGGTTGTTTAACGATTTTAGCCCCCGATGACCTATTTTCAAGCTTAAGTGTTGAAAAAGTGCATTTTTTGACTTAGTTTTCAAGCTGGGAATCCCGTGCTAGTTCCGTAAGTTTCCATAACTTACATTGGTCTCTCTCGAAGTGTTTGAGATGTTCCCCGGGTTTTTCTCATGGCTGTTACGCGATTTTGGCTCCCAATGGCTTATTTTTAAGTTTAAGTGTTGGAAAAATACGTTCTTAAATTTAGTTTTCAAACCGGAAGTCCTGTGCTAGTTCTGTAACTTTACACAAGTTACAATGGTCCCTTTCGAGGTGTTTAATGTGTTTCCCAAGCCTTCTCATGGTTGTTTCACGATTTTGGCCCTCGATGACCTATTTTCAAGCTTAAGAGTTGGAAAAGTGCCTTTTTGACTTAGTTTTCAAACTGAGAGTCCCGTGCTAATTCCGTAAGTTTTCACAACCTACATTGGTCCATACTGAATTGTTTGAGGTGTTCCCCTGGCCTTCCCGTGCCTGTTACACAATTTTGGCCCCCCGATGGCCTATTTACAAGCTTAAGTGTTGAAAAAATACATTTTTCGACTTAGATTTCAAACCGGGAGTCCCGTGCTAGTTCCGTAAATTTACAAAAGTTACAATGGTCATTTCCGTGGTGTTTGAGGTGTTCCCCAGGCCTTCTCATGTTGTTTAACAATTTTGATCCCTGATGGCCTATTTTCAAGCTTTAGTGCTGGAAAGTGTATTTTTTTTTTACTTAGTTTTCAAACCGGGAGTCCCGTGTTAATTCTGTAAGTTTCCATAACTTACATTGGTCCCTCCCAAAGTGTTTAAGGTGTTCTCTGAACTTTCTCGTGGCTGTTACACGATTTTGGCCCCCGATGGCCTATTTTCAAGCTTAAGTGTTAGAAAAATGGATTTTTAGATTTAGTTTTCAAACCGGGAGTCTCATGCTAGTTCTAAAAGTTCACACAAGTTACAATGGTCTCTTCCGAGATGATTCAGGTATTCCCCGTACCTTCCCATGATTGTTTCACGATTTTGGCCCTCGATGGCCTATTTTCAAGCTTAAGAGTTGGAAAATTGCCTTTTTTGACTTACTTTTCAAACTGGGAGTCCCGTGCTAATTCCATAAGTTTTCACAACTCACATTGGTCTCTCCCGAGGTATTTTAGGTGTTTTCCATGCCTTTTCGTGACTGTTACATGATTTTGGCCCCCGATGGCCTATTTTCAAGCTTAAGTGTAAGAAAAGTGTATTTTTCGACTTAGTTTTAAAACCAGGAGTCCCGTGCTAGTTTCGTAAGTTTTCACAACTTACATTGGTCTCTTCTGAAGTTTTTGAGGTGTTCCCTAGGCCTTCTCGTGAGTGTTACACGATTTTGGCCCCCAATGGCCTATTTTCAAGTTTAAGTGTTAGAAGAATGTATTTTTCGACTTAGTTTTCAAATCGGGAGACCCGTGCTAGTTCCGTAAGTTTCAACAACTTGCATTGGTCCCTGTTGAGGTTTTTGAGGTGTTCCCCAGGCCTTCTAGTGACTGTTACACGATTTTGGCCCCCAATGGCCTATTTTCAAGCTTCAGTGTTAGAAAAGTGTATTTTGCGACTTAGTTTCCAAACCGGGATTCCCGTGCTAGTTCCGTAAGTTTCAACAACTTACATTGGTTTCTCCCGAGGTGTTTGAGGTGTTCCCCAAACCTTCCCATGGGCTGTTACATGATTTTGGCCCCTGATGGCATGTTTTCATGCTTAAGTGTGAGAAAAATGCATTTTTCGACTTAGTTTTCAAACCAGGAGTCCCGTGCTAGTTTCGTAAGTTTCCACGACTTACATTGGTCCCTCCTGAGGTGTTTGAGGTGTTCCTAGACCTTCTCGTGACTGTTACACGATTTTGGTCCCCGATGGCCTATTTTCAAGCTTAAGTGTCAGAAAAGTGCCTTTTTTGACTTAGTTTTCAAGCCGGGAGTCCCGTGCTAGTTCCATAAGTTTCTGTAACTTATATTGGTCCCTCTCAAAATGTTTGAGGTGTTCTCTACGGCCTTCTCATGACGGTGACACAATTTTTTCCCCCGATGAGCTATTTTCAAGCTAAGTGTTAGAAAAGTGCATTTTTCAACTTAGTTTTCAATCCGAGAGTCCCATGTTAGTTCCATAAGTTTCATTAACTTACATTGGTCCCTCCCAAGGTGTTTGAGGTGATCCCCAGGTCTTCTCGTGACTGTTACACAATTTTAGCCCCCGGTGGCCTATTGTCAAGCTTAAGTGTTGGAAAAATACATTGTTTGATTTAGTTTCGTGCCTAAGTGCTGGAATAGTGCAAATTTCAAAGTAGTTTTCAAATCGGGAGCCACATGCTTGTTTGGTAAGTTTGCACAACTTATGTTGCTCCATCTCAAGTTGTTTGTGATGTTTCCTGGGCCTTTACATGCTTATTTTACTATTTTCCCGAGACCTTTCGCGCCTAAATGTCAAAGTATTTTTTTATTCTACCTTAGTTGAAAAAGAAATCTTCTACTAAATTAACATAGAAACATAATATACTAACCAAGAAGTGAAAGGTAGAAGATTTTCGAAAGCAAGGTTAAGACGATTGCCAAAAATAGGCACGCTTTCCTTGTTAAAACCAGTAAGATTTAGTGAAAGCTTCCCCATTGCAAGTGTGTCAAACCTGGCATACACTTGTTATAAAGAAATGTGTTACTTGTGTCAAAAAATGTGCAAAGGTAATAAATCCAACACACAAATTCGATATCAAATGTTTTGGAATAAGAAATGCTCTAATAGAATTATAAAAAGGTATAATATCTGATGTATGGGCTTCACAGGACACATTATATAAAATTATAAGCACGGTGACTATGAGGACAAGCCTTATACCCTGGACAAAAGATGCAACAACATGAAATGAGCTCCCACGCCATCATTTCCAATAACAACTGTAAGATGTCCCAAAAGAGTCTCCCTCATCTCTTTCACCAAATTGGATTTTGGCAATAGTATCAAAATGTAGAGGGTTCATTGAAAAACATGGTGAACTAAGCAAGAAAATAAAGCACAGAAAAAAGAAAAAAAAAACTTGGCAGATTACAAATCAATAATATCAATTACATAGAGATAAAGCAAGTAAATTCAACGACCTCCACTATGGAGGAACTAGAAAGGAAATCATGAACTGCAAGCTTCCGATGTATAAGACAATGGAGGTGTGGCACCTACAAAGAGAACTAGTTACAACATAACCTATACCAGTGCAAAAGAAAATCTTTAGAGTTGAAAGACAATAGTGAAAATACACAACCAATTTAGTAATAGCAAGACATAAATTGGTAAATTAAAACCTTATATTATGCAAATGATGAATATACGAAGCAGAGCATAAATATGCAAAAGCAACATAAAAGTTGCACTAAGGATTTAAATCTAAACTTAATTATAATTTTTATCCAATGCATGATCTGACTTGATAGAAATTTAATTATCTGACATATCTTGAGAATCCTAATTACATTTCTCACTCCTAACTCATGATTTTAGATTAAACCAAAACTTGATGCTTTGAGAGATGTGGTGAACTATAGTTTTCATAAATTTTCTAAACTGAGGTAGCATGAATCAGTTAGAAAATTCAAATTTTAAAGGTTAAAGATTCGTAGCTAATCTCAAGTCATAGAGATTGAAACTCTATCAAGCTAATTACTCTGTGAATATGACTCCATATTCCATTTAATTTAAAGTCCTTTCTTCTCAAACTAATGGTTTAATTCCAGTCCAGCTGCCATTATAATACCAAACATACCATCCTAATGGCACAATCATACGCCACTAACAAACACATGTCAAAAGTTTGATTGAGAAAGTTGCTAGATTTACCAGTCAGGTGGAACAATCTTCAATAGTGACAACAGGAAAAAAAAAACAGGTGGTTCACTTAGATATATCACTCCATTGAAACTGTCAAAATATTACAAATTTAATATTGAGTTGGTCGACTTTCTATAACATCATGTTGATCATTAAAACTATCAAGTTGCTCCATAATTCTAAAAAGAATCTCATCTCGATGGTTTTTAGGAAATATCCCTCCAAAAAATATGTGTATATATATTCTGGAATGCATAGACATGTTTAGAACTTGCTCTAAACAATAGGATCTTTTGATAAGGCAGAGCAGTAGTGAAACCACAGACAGAACAACAGTAGCCACAGCAGCCAACTGTAGCCAAAGCCACTACAGTCAGCTGCAGCCAAGGCCACAGTCCACAGACAGATCAGCAACAGTAGCCACCTGTCAAGATCATAGTCCACAGACAGAGTATCTAATACTCCAGCAGCTACAGCATCACTTATACATCAAATTCAGGTACTTTTTCTTTCAAAGTGGAAATGGTCTGAATGGTTCTGAACTCCTAAATGACTGAAAACTTTACATCTTATGAGAACAAACTCATGAAACCTAGAGATTCATATCTTTTCAGAAACTGATTTATATTGATTTCCTTGTTGGGAAACCAAATTGTGGATATTTTTATTTTTCCAAAAAAGGCATGCCCATTAGAAATATAATGAATTAATTATGTCTTACATGGATGGACATTAATTGTTCCAAGTTATATGAATCATATCGAGACCCAAAGATGTTTTTAACTAAAGATGAAATATAGCATTTTAAGTTAGTGACATATTGGCTAAGCTCCAAACATTGTATACAACATACATACATATAAATACCTCTAAGTGAAGGGGGGGTGCAGCTCATGAGACTTAAATCACTAAGCCAAGTCCTGTAATTGAGAAGCCCTTTTGATCATGGTAATTTTTTCTAATTTAATAAAAAAATAGCAGTCCAAAAGCATAAAGTAGGCAACAAATTAATCATCATTTTAGTGGGTCATGCAAGAGTTCTTAACTAAGCTAAGAAATTAAGTACTAAAATTCAAATAAAAATGAGGTACTAAGCATTATCCTCTGCTCTTGGGAATCAATTAATCAACTCAAAGTAGAACGAGATTGAAACAAACCCAAAATCACAAGAATTCCACTAAAAAAAATTATCGAATTCAAAGCAAAACTGAAGTTATCAAGGTATCTTTTGAGCTTCTTTACAAAAAATAAGTAAACAATGATTCAATGGAAGCTGCGTAAATGGCCAAATTCCACAACCCCAATACACAATCTTCTTCACTCGACACAAATTCAGTTCTTGGGCCTATTTTCTAGAGGTAAGATTAGATTAACCCGAACAAATAAGCAAACCCACTAAAAAGCAAGGCAAACCCAGAATTGGTAATGCAGCACCAATCAAATATTTGGCTTTCACAAGCGCTTAATAGCACAAATCAACCCAACAAGAAGAAAATCAAGACATGTGAATCCAAAAGAACAGTTATAAAACCCTAATAAAAATTAGCAAACACATATATGACAGAGAATGTAATTCGAGTATCAAATCAAAAATTCAGAAAGGGTTTGTACCTATGGAGAGACTGATTGAAATGAAAAAAATCTAAAGAGAGAAAGAGAGAGGTGGGGGGAAAGCACAGGGCCTGTTTGGGAATTTTGAAGAGGAAATTCAAAAATGGAGTGAATGTGAAAGAGATAGAGAGAGAGAGAGAGAGAGAGAGAGAGAGGGGGGAATCCAAACATACCACAAGAATGGAACCGTCAATCGTCGCCGCCGCCAAACCAGTCTCGCCGCCGAATGGAGAGCACCGTTCCAAGTCAAAGTTCCGCACCGCACAAACCAATCTTTCCTTCGAACCCTCTCTCTTCTCCCTTTTTTCTACTAGGTTTTGCAACTTACAAATTTCTATGTCCAGAAGCCAAAGTGTTCTTTAAAAAATTAGTAGCCTGTTTTTAATTGCGCCTAATTTCCGAAATTGGTGACAAAATTATTTTCTCACCAAAAGACAAAATTATTGACCATGAAAATATCTTTCTCACTAAATGATATTAAAATATTAAAAATTATTGGTGACGAAAATATATATCTCACTAATAATTTTATAATTGGTGACCAATTTTTTCCTCACCAAAAGTCTTAAAATTTTGGCGCCATTCAAAAAACTTAGCAGGAAAATCTTCAGTGACAAAAAAATAAAAATAATGATGAAAAATAATTTTGTCACCTAATTTTTTTTATTATATATGTAGATTGGTAATGAAATTTTATTTTTCTCTCTAAAACTTGTACATTTGGAGACGAAATATTATTTTCTTCACTAAAAGGTACGTCGTTCGTGATAAAATTTATTTTTGTCGTTAGTTTTCATCTCCAAAGACTCTTTTTGTTGTAGTGGGTTACATAATATTCATTATCGATATGTTTTGCCAAACTTTCATTATTTCTGCTAACATATGTAAAACAAATGGTGAAGTAGGAATATATATATATATATATATATATAAGAAAATAATTTTGTTGCAGTATCAAAAACTTTTAGAAATTTTTTTATATAAGGCTATTTGGGGCCAATTAGGTTTTGTAAGAGTCAGTACTCCTTCTATTGATATTGTTATAAAAAATAAATCTATTGCTTTTTCTTTGTTTATAAACTCTTTTTAACATATTATACATTGAATTCCACCTGCTGTCTATATCTAAAATTATACATTGAATTCCACCTGCTGTCTATATTATACATTAAATGGCATACCTTCTCGTTGACAAATTTTTTTATATTCTGAATTTCGATTAGCAGAAGACCTAATAGTAACAACTCCATTTTTTTTTATAACCAATACATCAGCCTCATATATATGCATAACTTGTTTAACAATCAATTTTAAAATATGAGCGCAACAACAAACATGAAATAAATCACTATTAACAAGTAATTATAAAGTTGATTGTAAATGAGCTATAGCCTTATTATAATATGTTGCATTATCTAAACTAATGGTAAATATTTTATTTTGCAAAGCCTATTCATATAGTACATTTCTTATTTCTACACCAAGCGAATGACCAGTATATGGAAGTTCAGCTAATCTAAATGAAATAATTCTCTTATTTAATTTCAAATCGTTATTAATAAATACTTTGATATTCTAAACCATTGTTTGACCACAAATCAGATATTAAACAAATTCTTCTATTCAAAGTTTTGAAGATGTCAGATAATTCATTTTCAATATCCACAAATTTCTTTAAAATCCTATTTCTAGTAGTATTTCTTGAAAATTTTTGATATTGAGGTATAAAACTTTTGTAAACCATTTGTAAAAAATTGGGACATTCGCTAGTAGTAAAAGTATAACACCATCAAATTATTTAAATGAAAACATTACTCATAATTTGTTTAACTCCAAATCATTGATCTTTAACTAATAACATTAATCTAGCACTCTCTTTCTCATATTGATCTATAATCTAAAAAATACAAAATAAAAGTACAAATTTCATATTTAACTTTTAGTTACATCAACATTAGCATAGTTCAAGAAGTTAGAGGAGATAATATGAAAATGCCCTATTGACTTACAAATATCAAGGCCACATCTTGTTATAACAAAATGGACTCGCGGTCCCAAAATACATATACTCGGAGCTTTGACAAAATACATCTGTGAGCTTTCGTGTTCCAACCAACACAAAAAATTCACATCTTTCTCACTAAGGTGGTGGCACATCACCAAATCCTGAAATGTTAGATAGGAGTGAGTTAGATGCTCGGTAGAAATACTTATAATAAAGTATATAATTATTCAAAAATTCACATGGCATTATCACAACCAAACATAATTAATTCAACTCATAATATTAATTTAAGAAAGAATACATGAATTCATAACTTTCATAATTTCACAATTCAACATCAGGGGGTAAATATACCATGAAGTCCCTAAAGAGAGTCTCAATACATATATATACATAGGTTTATATCCAAAACATCTCCACATTTGTCAGCTATTAATAGGGCAGGAAATGGGCACCCAAAATCATCCATTTTTCCACTTTTTTCGACTACAATATAGCAGGACCAGTGGACACTCAAAATAGTTTCCTACATTCGTTCTGCAATAAGCTCAAGACAGGGCAATTAGGCACCTAAACTTCCCCCCCCCCTCCCCCTCGCCGCGGGTATCAACCACATACAACCCTTTCAAAAACCGACTCCTTACCTAGACTCACATGCTATTTACCACCTCCCCTTAAAGAACTTTTCCAAGATTTCTATGTATTTATACATTCTTTAGGTAAAGGGTAATTGTACACCACTCAAGAAATTTAATGGAGTAATGAGGAACAATATTCATAGTTCAAGAAAAATCTTAAAAGGTTCTAATTTCACAAGTCTCAATCATTACATATTCAAAATTAGGGTTTTTGTAAGATTTGAGGCTTTTGTCCCTTTAACATATATAATATTAATTTTCATGAAAAACTCACATAATCGACGGCTAAAAGTAGAAATCTTAAGAAAATTTCTAGAGAAAATACTATTTCTATAAGAAAAGCTCCATTTTATAACTTCAATTTCCATCAACTCAACCATGTCATGGTAACACCACATAATCTTCTCCAAATCAAAGAGATAAAGGGATAAAAGTAGTCATACCTCAAGTTTCAAGACCAAAAAGTTAGATGATCAACGAACTCTTTGTGAAATTCCAATTCAACCGGTAGAAAGCTTTGTCCTAACTCAAACTTCAACTATTGCAAGCAATAGGTTTGTGAATCTAGGTAGAAATGGAAGATTTCTAGAGAGAAGAAGGTAGTGTTTTCGGAGCTAGAGAGAGAGAGGAAAGAAGGGAGAAAAGAAAGAGTGAAGAAAATGATCTAAAAGTCACTTTTTAAGTGGCTGATATCACACAGGCTGCTCGAGTGGTAAATGAGGCCTCTTAACATCTTTACTTGCAAAATGGGATATTGGGGACCCCCTCATCTTCGCTCAAGCGACCATTTATTTGCTCAAGCGGTCCCTTGACCTGCAAAATAAACTACTAGAAACACCTCATCTATGCTCGAGCAGTATTTCCACCGCTCAAGTGGTCACCTGAAACAAATTGTCACAAAAAGGTTGTTCTTTTTTAATAATATGATTAACTACAGAATTTTGTGCACATATAGAATTATATGAAAATGTTTGCAAATGACAAGTTGATGACGCCCTTAACTGCATTTGACTTGTAATATCAAATTGTTGACTTTGTAAATATTTGTTTACATGCCTTTTTAGATGACTAGTACCCCTTACAAATATAGTACTAAGGAAATGTGCACAATATACATTTTGCTTTAAATGTAATTGTACCATTTGGATTATTTATGGATATTTTTTCGAAATGATTCAACACACTACTGGTTGTGCCCCTAGATGATGATCCAGAAGGGATATTAGGTACATTAGAAGGAGAATCAACATATTCATGTTGTGTATTATATGCATTAATATCGACATAAATATTAGGAATATTAGGATCCATAGTAATTAAGTAAAATAATATATAAGAACTAACAATTAATTTAAATAATAACCAAAAAATAACAACTAATATATATTAAAAAATAATTAAAGTAAAAAAAATGAGTAACTAATAAATTTAATTCAACTAATTAATGTTACTAATTGGCGAATGCGATACAAAAATTAGTTTCTTCTGATAAAAGCTTCTTTTTACAAAATTGTAATTGTTACTTAGGGATGAGACTTCCAAATTAATTGAGAGAGTTGAGAGAGATTGAGAGTTTGAAAGAGAGAGTTGTTTGTGAGAAATGAAATGGGAGAGCAGGATATTCATAGAAGTTTGGGAGGAAGTCGGTTAATTTGTGCAAAAAAAATATTTGGACCGTTGGAAGTAAAACGGTCAAATGACCATTTCAATTTTATTTTATTTTATATTTGAATTTTGACCGTTGGATACATAGAGTCGTGTGGGGGGCAGGTTTAGGTTACGAGTCTGGCCGCCTATGGAGCGAAATTGTTTTGGACTGGGTCGAGTTGGGCGGGCCAGGTCATAGGCCGGGTATAACTTTAAAATGACAGCCTAGGCCCATATCCAGGGTCTCGGTCTGGGTTCGGGCCTGAGCCTAACAAGATTGGGCCCACCCTAAGCCGCAGGCGGGTTTTAGGCCATTGGCCATTTTTACACCCCTAAGTGCAGGCTATAAAACGAAGAGGTTAGTGTGGTTAGGGATGGAGAGGAAGGGGTACACATTGGTGCAACTAGTAGTACCTATAGTATTATAAGAGAAAAAGAGTAGAGGACATGAAAAAATTTGTGCATTGACAAAATATTTCCTAATTTAATGTGTAAAAGGACTATATTATTCATTTTTTGTCAGTTTAATAAATGAAATTAGATTAATGATTCAAATTAATACTCATTTAAAATTTTAAGATTTTGCTTAATAAAATTAAAAATTGGGTCATTTTTCAGAAAGTCCTATTCTTAATTATTATATTCCATTTAATCCATCTTCTTTCTTAATATTTCATTAGGTCCTATTTAGAATAATATGACTAAATTACCCTTTCAACTTTTTGTGCATGTTTCCATTTTGAAACAATATACAATAAAAAAATAACAACAGTTCATCATTACATGGAGAAAATCTCTCCTTATTCCAAGGAGAATCTCTACATTTTAGGGATAAAATCTTTCCCTTATTCCATAAAGAAAATGTCTCCCTAATTCTATGGAGAAAATCTATCCTTTATTCCATAGAAAAAATATGTCACATTTTTAAAACCTTAAATCGTCTACTTTGGAAAATCTCTCACTAAATGTTAATGTTAACTTTCATATTACAAATGATGCTGATAAATAATATTCCCTCAAAGAACCATACACTGTGAACATTCACATT